ATGAGAGACGGTACTTCAAAGTTTGGTGCAAAAACGCATGATCGCACCGGCTCGCCTGGTGCGTTCAAGCCTGGGTTCATAGTTTATATACAGTTATAATTACCGGCATATCTATTCGATGGGCGAAAATCATTCGGAACGCTTATCCTCAATGCTACTTATTTTAGAATGCTTTGCATCTTGCAGTTTGTATTCCACGAGCTTTAGCACACAGCTATTTGCAAGTCAAGTCAGCAGTTCGCATAAAACGGCAGCAGTAGGGTAATACAGCAAATAAAGCCCAAGAACTGTTTTTCATTCAGCCGTTGTATTATCGTTTTTCTCATTTACAGATTGCTACTAAGCTATTATGCTCTGCCGTGAGCTGGCTTCATCAGCGTAACTTTAAAAAAACATTCAGTGAGATCCTTTTACTTGAAAGAGAAACGTCCCCAGGGTTCAGAGGTCACTGGATGTAGGCATCGGAAACTAAGATGATTTTGAACGAATATTTGCAGCCTCCGCAATGCGCTCGATCGGGGCGTTTGGACCTGACCGTACATCGTCGAGCTCGTCATACGACCCAGTCATTCTTAGCCGCACTAACAACAGAGGAAGAAACTGCTCTAACGTTTCTACGGCCAGAAGCTGTTGAAGACCAGGCTTACTCGCTGCAAGCAGTGGATCACATCGCGAGTGCAAAACTTTTTTGGCTGATGCTGATCCTCACCATGCTCTCCACATTTGTCACTCTTGTGCTTATTAGGTTCGTTGTACATATTTGAATATTGCTTTTGGATTTAATTCGCTTACTTGTGCAATCTGTAAATCCTCTTAGATGTGGCAATTTTCACATGCGAGATTCCACTAAAGATCAAAAGTCAATTTTCTTTCATCACCTATGCTACGATTTGTGTTTTATTCAGAGACGGCTGGTTCACTGATATTTTCATAAATCCATATCGCTATTTCTTGTCATTTAAGAGTTTACGCCCAGTTTTGCCCTGGTAAAATCTCCATTCCGGAGCAAGATTAAGCATTTCGAAAATAAATTCAATATCGCGTTTATTAAAACTAACTTCTACATTCACTCGAATCATCATTTCTCATGGATACCACACACTACGCTTACCGCTTATTTGTAAGGCGAGCAGCATGCTCTGTCCATCAGAATTTACCTTTTCTTATGGATATAACGCCGCTATTAAATTTAGCTCCCGCATTCATTCAGCCTAACTATCTCTCTGCAAAAGAGAAATCCGTTCTTCTTCGCACCTCAATTGTTCATTTCAGTCCCTCAGAATAAGATTTTCAATGCAGTAAGGGGACGGAAGGGGTATCAGGATTGCCATAAGCAAGCTGAACACTAAGCGATGTGGCACTGCTTAACGTAACTGAAAAAGTTGTAATATATGTAATTCGTGAAGCGAAGCATGAACTGTGGCTCAAATAAGCGTGTGCAAGCACTGAAATTGTACAGGGTTATCATTCAGAACAGTGAGATTAGTACAGATAACATTTATATAACAGGCGAGCTAAATGTAAGGTTAAACACAGTTGCCCGCATGCTTACGCCGAGGATTTAACCCCGGCACTGGCAATGCCAATTGTGCTACAAATCGTTCATTTGCTTCAGCGGTGAATTAGTTCTGATACTTGCCAAGTAGTCACACCCGTCGTCATCTTTCTTCCAGCAATTTGTGATTAAAAACGGATCATCAACAGCCTTATCAGTGGGTGGTTACTGTTGCCGGGCTACTTCTGCGTGCTTCCATCTCTCACAAAGAGTGGACTAGAAAAAAGATGCGATCCTCATTTTTAAAAAGCCATTCACAAGCCTTCATTACCGATGAAAGCATGAGTTGCTAGAATTCCTGCATCATTTCACTTTATTTTCAGGCACATCAATCGAATGGGACGCGGTGATCGGGCGACGACTGTCTCCGACTGTTCGCAGAAGCTTGGAATCGTTTGCCACACAGATTATACCTCGGCCATGGATTCATTCAATACCGTTGATTTCCTTCCGATTGAAAAAGCTGTAGAGAGTAACGCGCGGCATGCTGACAGCAGCCTGAGACGAGGGACAGAAGCGTTTGTTGCTGATACTGGCGAAAAGACAAAAACTGAAATATTATCTGTATATCTGAATTCGAATTATGACGAGGTCAGGCAGCCAGCTAATCGTGACTCTCTCTACAGTATCATATTGCCTACATAGTCGATTCACATGCAGCTCGATCCGACGTGAACTCCAACCTGCTCCAAGAGACTTTATGCATCTTGTACTTTATCTTATTGATCGAACAAAACCCGTGAAATGTTTGATCGTGCTGCCATTGTCAAACTGCTTTTGAACGTGCGTTGCTCAAGCATTTGCTAAGTTGTCACAGAAATAACGCAGGATTTCGAATGCTTGGTCCTACCAATTCATCAGTGAGTGAATCAGTGGCGAGTCCAGAGTTTGCAAGGTAAGTCATGGGCAATCCTCAATAATGTCGATGTAGATTGATGTCTGGCTGATCTTATGAGCCGATCTCAATCGTGGGCATGTCGAAATCATGTGGGAGATAGTGTTGCGTTGAGAGGCGGAATCTTTCCATGATTCCAACCTCAAACAGTAATTTGAAAGAATTAGGTTTCGACCTCAGATCTCAAACATCGATTTTAAGCATATAGATTCCTTAAAGAAAAAGGAAGATAGTTTGCTAGGTGAAAAGTTAAACTTCGATATTGTCTGTAATTATTTGCATTTTGGGTGCACATTAGACTCCAGCACTTGTACATATAGCATTTCTTCACTCGCTGCATATCCTTTAAAACTCAAGCAGGCCATAAAATACAATTTTTTTTTGCCGCAGTTTGACTTATAAGCACAGATATAATTTCTGTACTTAAATGTCTGTAATTTTTCAGCAAGTTGCGGTTACGGTAGTAAGTAAATTGCTCTATGAAATATCGATAGAGATGCTTTGGCGGAATTCACACCCATAGTAACGCAGATAAATAGGACCATTTTTATTGCAAGGTACATTATGAAACCCTGGACACCAAAGGCTAGACTTGCTGGTGAGGTCATGTGTTTTTGTGCCAAACTTGCAGCAGTCAGATAATAAATAGAATGCATTGCAGTTAGAAAGCGAACACGTGTTGGCTGTTTTTTTGGTGCTTTCTTGAGTAAATGTTTTTGATGTACATGGTGTGAAGTATTCCGATGTCGTTGTGACTAGGCAAAAAGAAAGCGCAAGGCGTAGTTTCCATTATATTAAGTTTTCTTAATTTAGCAAAGAAAAAGAAAGAAAGCTGAACATCAATACAGTTGAAAAGGGCCTGGTCGAGGACCGGAGGAATCAGTAGACATTTTGTTAAGTGGGAAGCAATCCATCCGACGGAGCCGAACTTGGGCATTACGACGACTGTGACCGTTACAAGAGATTCGAGGAAACTGACGATTTGTGAACAAACTCGGAAGCATGAGACGAGAGAACGAACCGAACCCAGAATAGGGAAAGAAGGTTTGTATAGGGAGAAAAGGAGCCACTCCTAATAGGAGGCACCCTACCATTTTTACTTCTTTGTATCCACCTGGTACAGCTGGATACAACAAAACTGTTAAATTATGCGCGTAGAAAATACGCATCCCAACTTTTGTTATGCAAAATCGCATACAAAATTAGATGGGGATATAGGAGTAGGTCACGGTATGAATGGAAATCTTTGGCGACGCGCACGGGACGGCCCCGTGCGATCATGCGTTTTTGCGGTGTTTCATGCTGCAAAAAGATCACTCGAAATTCCGCTAGCTAGAAACTTCTTGTACATACTGGTCCTCGAATTTCGGGAAGT